CCCTGACAGAGAGCTGGCAGGGACCTAGGGACTGTCCGTGCGGTGCCACCACGCCTGGGACGGTGCTCAGTCAGCATGTGCATCAGCTTGCCCGGGCCTCCCGTGTCCCCGCTGGATGCTGTTAGGTGGAGCCATGTGGAATTCCTGATAGCCACCTGTTTGGTATCCAAAGCAACTTCATGACACACTAACATGAAATTTTTGCTGATGAATCCAGTGAGGTGGGGGTCTTGTCCATGGTAAACCAGGTAGAAATTGGTGGTTTGAGTTGACAGGGAAGGTGACACCTTGATCTTTGCGTGCCATGCATGAGTGAGACAAGGGACATGGAAGAGGAAGGTCTTGAGGCAGAGCCGTCATCTCTGCCATCCGCCGTGTGCCCAGTGGGTGGCTGAGAGCAGAGAAGGCCTGAGCACTGCCCGATGCAGGGCCCTGGCGTGGCCAGGACACGGGGTCTGCGGGAAGAGCCCAGCTCACAGCTTGGCCACCTGCCGCCTTCCACAGGCCCAGTCCAGACCCGCCACAGACAGGCCACAGCGTCTCTGCCACCCGTGGGCACCCGGAACCACTGGACACAGCAGTGGAGCAGGGGCTGGCCTTGTCCTGCAGGGCCTCTGGGCAACGTGTCTGTAAAGCACCCTCCGAGGGGCAGTGCCGGCGACTGGAGCCCTGTGACCTCAGAAACCCACTTCACCTCTCACAGCCGCTTCACCTCAGCTGAAAAATGGAGAGAACACAGCACCAGTCTCGTGGAGTTGCTCCGAGGAGTTCATGAGTTATTCCAGGTATTGGATCTAGAGCAGCACCGGGCACACAGCGAGTGCCCGGTTAATGTGAACTCGTGCCGCTGTGACTTGGAGGCCCTTCCCCAGCGTGCCTGCTACAGGGCCATGGCCTGGGCCCCCATGCCGGCTGCCGGCTGTGCACCTTCGCACGTGCCCTGCCCATGCCCCCTCCCCACCCCCGTGTCTGCTGAGGAAATTTCCGTTCTTCCTTCAAAGAGCACGTCTTCTTGGAAGTGTTCCTTGACCAACAATTCTGCCCTCACCAAACAGGTACCGCGTGACGTCTCCACTCTCCTCTCCACGTGCGCCAGCGGCCTGCAGCTCAGCCACGTGCCGTGCACGTTCACACTGCTGCCCACTGGGGACAGGCTCAGGGAGGGCCAGGCCCCTCCTCGGGGACCCCATGGCTGCTCATGGGTGGGCGGTGGCTGGGCCCCGGAGCACCCGGCCCACATGGGCACCCCAGGAGAATCCCAGCTTGGAAGGGAGGGACCAGGCCTGGAGCAGTCAGTGATCAACACAGAAGCTCCCGGGCACAGCACCAGCACAGAGGAACTCGGTCCGGAAGGGGCCCGGTGCCAGGGGCTCCCACTCCAGGCACAGCTCCTGGGCACTGCCCAGTGGCGTGTTAGTGGGGGGCCCTCAAAAGAACATGGAAACACTCTGCACCCTCTCACACATTTAACAACTGACATCCACGCCTTAGAGTGTAAACAGGAGCAAAGGTGTGCATTCCTACACATGGTAAATGTTGACACTTAAAAGTTAATGGTTCCAAGGGGGAGGATTAAGATGGCGGACAAGGAACACCGCCAGACAAAGTGTCTCTGTAGAAAAGACAGATTCTAGCAGAAATTAGAAAAAAGAAGCAAGAAGACGAGCATACAGTGGACGAGGGCCGGAAGGAGGGGTACCTGAGACCATGGGAGACTCCCCGGGAGGAGGCTGCGGAGGAGAACTGGAAGCTGAGACCGCCGGAGCAGCCCGGAGACCAGCGGGAAGGGTGGGTGGATAAGTCCCCTCCCCTGCATCTGGGACTGCTGGTGGGCTCCCCAGCGGGTGGAGAGACCTGCGGACACCAGCCCAGAGACTGCCGCTGCCAGCGAG